TTATATACCCATTTTGATCCAATTGCTTTCTTGTGAGGAGGCAAATCAGTTAACTCCCATGTATTGTTTTTCTCCAAGGCCTGCAGCTCCAAATCCATTGCTTTGACCCAAGCTGTATGTCTCTTAGCTTGATTATAGTGAACAGGCTCTTTGTCTGTAGCTATATTGCTCAAGAAAGCTTGTGATTCAGATACCAAACCAAGAGGACAATGTGTGTCTGTACTGCATATATAATCTTGATGCCAACTAGGTGGTTGTCTAGTCCTGGCACTTCTCCTCAAACCCTCATATTTATCAACTATCTGTGGTGTAGAGGACTCCTTGTCATTGATTTCATCGTCTGATAATGGATCCTCAACATATTTGGGTAGTGACTCTTTGCTGATATTAAAAGTTGAGGTATAAACAAACTCATTTTCAAGGAAAATTACATCTCTGGCCACCAATAATTTTTCTCCTACTATATCATAGAGATGAATCCCTTTCTTGCTTGCAATATATCCCAGAAAGATACACTTGACACCCCTGTGGTCAAATTTGGATTTTGATGGATTGATATTTGCAGCATAAGCAACACAACCAAAAGGTTTCATGCTTTTGTACTCTGGCAACTTATGATAAAGCTTCTCAAAAGGTGACTTCCACCCCAATAAAGATGATGGTAGTCTGTTGATTATATAAGCAGCTGTGAGCACTGCAAAAGGCCAGAATCTTAGTGGCATATTGGCCTGAAACATCAAAGCTCTACTCACCTCCAATAAGTGCCTATGTTTTCGTTCTACAACACCATTTTGTTGTGGTGTATAAGCACAACTTGTCTCATGATGTATTCCCTTCGAGGCCAGAAATTCACATAATTCCTTAGTCAAGAACTCCTTACCATTGTCAGTTCTGATCCTTTTAACTCTCTTTCCAAATTGCCTTTTTCCCATGAGAATAAAATCCTTGATCAACTTAGGAGCTTGTGACTTCTGAATCATCAACAACACCCAAGTCCCTCTGGTAAAGTCATCAACAATGGATAGGAAATAAGGAGTGTGTGTTAAGGACTCTTCCTTACAAGGTCCCCATATATCAATGTGGAGTAACTCAAAGCAATCCTCAGTTTGTATGCTACTTCTTGAGAAAGGCAACCTGTGTTGTTTGGATTTAAAGCAGATATCACAAGAATGTAAAGCCTCTTCACCTCTTTTATTGCATTATGGTTTAAGAAACTCAAGATGCCTCAGAGCTTCAAAGGATGCATGCCCAAGGTTTTTATGCCAGAACTCCAATGACAAGTTACAAAAAACTTTCTCCTGGGATGTGTAGTTCCTCTTCTTATAAACATACAGGTTCCCTACTATTTCTCCACTTCCAAGTATATCCTTTGAAATTTGATCTTCCAAATAACAATGAGAATTTGTAAAAATCCACCTCTGATTTCCTTTATCACAAAACTGTAACACTGACAGAAGATTATACTTGAAAGAAGGTACTAACAACACATCATGAAGAGTTACTTCAGAGCTCAGCTCCACCTTCCCTTTACACCAGACTTCTTTTGTACTTCCATCAGGTAGGCAAACAGTAAGAGGATGATCAACAGTTTCAATATGCTTCATTTGGCTTTTATCCTTGCAAATGTGTCTACTTGCCCCAGTATCAATGATCCAATCATTCTGATGATTTCCATCCAAGGCTGAGAGTGCAAAGTGTATGTCACTATCATCTTCACTACTTGTGAAACTCACAAACTGTGCATAATCAACTTGTCCTTCTGCACTTTCTTTTCCTTTAATGTACTGAGTTATCTCTTGTAATTGTTGAATCACTGAGTTCAGATCATGTGGCTTGCCCTTCTCCTGAAAGTTTATAGCTGATTTTGGTCTCTCTGGGTAATTGATCACTTCAGCATTGTTGATGTAACCTTTTCCTTGTTGCTCCTTCATATCCTTGTACCAATCTGGTGCTCCATGGATTTTAAAGCAAGTGGCAATAGTATGCCCATTCATACCACATTTTTCACATATTAATTTGTACTTTTCTTCTTTTGTCAGCCTTGGTGTGCCTTTACCTCTTCCACCACTCCATTGCCCTCCATTTTGCCAACTTCTTCCTCCAGATCCTGCTCCTTTACTTTGTCCATAAGTCCCTCTCCCATAGCAATCCATTTTTGCAACCATAGCCACATTATCCAGTTTATTCCCAATATCATTTTGGACATTTTTCTGCCTTTCTGCTGTAAGTATCATAGAGTAAGCTTTGTTCACTTTAGGCAGTGGATTTAGAAGCATAATCTGATTTTTCAAGCTATCATATACATCACTCAGTCCCATAAGGAACTGAATCAACTTAGCCTCAGAGTTTTGCTGCTCGATTATCCTTCCCTTTTCACAATTGCAGAATTGTACAGGCACTATACAAGCATATTCATCCCATAATTTTTTGAGCTTATTAAAGTACTCCATCACTGAACAATTACCTTGAGTCAGAGTTGAGATTTCTCGCTGAATCTTATACTTCATTGGCCCGTTGTTTTCTCCAAAACGTTCACAAATATCT